ATTGTAGTATATTTATTATTAATAAAATTTGATAATAATCACTAATTTAAAAATGCAACTCTGACATTTTTTTGATTTTCTTCTAAATTTAAATATGTATATAATATTTTGTTGAACTTTAACAAGAAATATTCATAGAGTTTTAATTACTTAAACTTGGTAACGAGTATCACATCTCTCAGCTGACTCTTAGTGTATGAATAATTCGTTTAGCTGCACTTAAATTTTACCTCTCCTATTTGTATGTGTTGTGTTTTTTTTTTTCACGTTTGCGTTATCAGTAACAAAATTTAAACAGCTGCCGCGAACGCATTGCAAACAGTTAAAAACATTCAAATGCTATGCCATGTGCTGTTTTTTCAGTTTATTTCTTCTTCTTTCGTCTCTTTTGTTGTTGTATTTTATTTCTCAGTTGTATTTCGTAGTCCGTCAAGCATTCCAGACACGTAAACCCGAGCACACCTCCCGTCGTAATTTTGCTGACTTGTTGCTGCGCTTTTTGTATCTATTCGAAATGATGGTCTTGAGCCAACGGTATCCCCACCCCACCCCACTACGCTATGGCTATGGCTATGGCTATGGCCGACCCCGACAGCGCTGATATGCAAAACATGTGCCCCTATATACACAGACACCCTACACGCACACGCATGCATATAGATAGACCTTTCTTTCCCATTTTCATATCCATTTCCATTGCGATGAGTCTTTTCATGGTTCTTGAACGCAGTTTGATAGCTCTCCGTACTTCTTGTACTTCTTACTCATTCTTATTCTACCTCTGCTTCTTCTTCTTCTTCTGCATGGCTGTGCGCTATGCGGAAATACTTTGGTAACTGATAAGTTGGCTTCAGCTGAAGTCGGGGCTTTTGGATCGGCTGGAAATTGTTATGCGCCTGAGGTAATGGCCAATAAAAATGATCGTGGAGTTGTCTTCGCCGTCGCCGTCGTCGTTGTTGTTGTCTTTTGAGCGTGTCTTGTGCAATTTTAATGACTTTTAAAGTGCTTGAACTTAGGGAGTTCTTAAACGCTGGACATATCCTGTTTGAACACAGAGTGTGAAGAAATAATTAACTTTAATTTGACTATAAAAGAAAGCTTTGGAAGTGTATGAAAAAAAAAAAAAGCGGATTAGCTAAAGGTATAAGATTAACTACTTCATTAAAGATCTCTATCAGGAAACTAAAAAAAGAAGCGAAACTTACCTAAAGTAATATATAAATTAGATATGGATATCGAAGATATTTACAAAATTTTAATTTTCATTTTTATTATTCTAAACTTCTAGCTTTTTTATTTTAAATTTTAACTGAAAATTAGTTGAAAATCCAAATTATAAATAAGAAATCTTTTTCAATATTTATCATTCTTTTAAATAAACCTTATTCAGTAACTCTTCCTTCCCATAAAAATACTATTAAATTTTATGTACTTCTTTCTCTTTGGCCTTAAAATATTTTTTCTTATTTTAAATTTAAATTTTCCAAGTAATTCTTTATATTTGATATCTTTCTACTTTATCTGAATTATTCATTTATTATAAAGAATATTTATATATATATTTCTCGTAGGTAGCCAACTCAGTTATATTCATAAATTTCTTGATTAACACTCAAAGATAAAATCTCGCATTATGAAATTTATCATATCTAATAAATTTGATAAGTTTATGTAAGCTGGCACGCATTTTCTACAATCCCAACGACGTCACGTGCTTTGCTTAAGCGACCCACCCAAAAGCTTCACAAAAATAAATAAATATCTCTCTATATATATAAGTATATATTTACGTGACATTTTTACCAATCATATTTAATCCGAAATAAAATAAACAATTACTTATATAAGTAATTCGACAGAGCGGAAAAGACCTGTACCGTAAATTATGTGTAAATTATATACGGAATAATTTTTTTTTTTCAATTTTTTTTTTTTTTTGTATACATTTGATAAATTGACTCTCAGCCTGAGTTACGAGACATCCAGACACACATTGAAAGACCTTCATTACTTATTTTTTAGCGATTCATCGGAGTCCACCTGTGAAAAACGTTTAGCTACAGTAAATTCTTATTGGAGTGCCTATTTGCTTTTACAACTCATATATAGTAATAATAATCATAATGAACAGAGCCAGATAAGCGCAGAGCTGTTTCCATTGTGGTTTATCAGGCACTTGAATTGTGTCGTGGGGATCGGTCGATGTTGTTTTATACTCAATCACGAAACTGAAATGAGTGTATTGGTTTTGCATACATATATATTCCGATTGAGGGAAATGGATCTGGCAGGCTTCGGCGCGTGAATGAGTATTCTACAGGCGATAACACCCGATTGCAAAGTTCTTGTTTTTTGCTTATGATTACAAGAATTATATACCTTGTAAATGTCCACGAATTACTCATGCAGCAATTGTAATTTATGAATGTGAGCATGCCGCAAAAGATATCTCAATATCTTTTACAGCTAGGGTTCGTATCATCCATGGTCTAGAGAACAGCTTAAAAATGCCAAACAAATCTTCAGCGACATTTGTCACACAAAAATTTACTTGAGCAATCGCTCGTAATGAGGTCAGTTTAAAATACATAAACTGATTTTTTTCCTCTTCACAAACAATAATAAAAATATAAAAAAATATAAAAATATATACATATACAAAATAAGCGAAAATATTTTACTGTCGCGTACGCAAGAAAACGTACAACAATTTTTACAGCGACGCGCTGTGCCCCAAATAAGGAGCACAAACAACAACAATCAGGCATTAATAATGTTAAGTAAATAAGCGAAATTGTACAACAAATGGAATGCTATCTCTGTTAAAAGGCAGCACACTCAACAGGTATCTAAAAAAAAAAAAAAAAAAAAAAAAAAAAAAAAAAAAAAAAAACTAACAATGAAAAGAATGAGAGATAGATTTATGTACTCTAGTTCTTTATATAGTATATTCAGGTAAATATATAAAATATGGTCTTCATATTTAAAAATTATAGTTCAT